GGCAGCTGGGGACCAGCCATATAAAACAGCCCCTTATTTAAGACTGTTGACAGTAGGGTAAATTAGAACAGCCTTCATGTTTGGGGCTTGACCGGTGGAAAGATGGCCCCTGAATGGGGGGTGTCTGCAAAGCCTTCTTTAATCTTTTCTGCACCCCGTCATCCCCATCCCGAGTCAGCAAGCTTTACTTTCAGATCCCAAGCTGAGTTTACAGGTCTGGCCATTCTAAAACACATTCAACTGACCAAATTTGGCCTGGAATCAGACATACACAAACATGCCACCCTCCCATGCCAATTTTAGAGTCCCTTCACATAACAAAACCACACTTCAAACTGGTCTTAGTCTAATTTTCACACTTCAGAAATGAATGTCAGAGAGTAAAATAATAGATTATTCCTGAAGTGCAAGACAGTGAACTATTGTCTCCTATGGAGGACTAATTAGTGGTCTAACGCCATACCGTTTCACTTTTAAATCGATTGCCACAAGACATCTGATAGTCAACTGCATCCAGCCCACTCCAGGCCACTAACAAGCCATTTTATCCCAGTATGAAATATGACATGGCTTGTCTGGCACCTGTGGCCACCTACTGGAAATATTTAGGACTGACATTCAAGCATAGTGGGAAATTTTAATGAACTAAGACACATAGCAGGAATTTATTCTCCATTGTTACAAAAATGTTTATCCATTTTGCTAACTACTGGTATTGCCTGTATGAACAGAACTGACAAGGGCAGATACTATTATCTTAGAGAAGAAGGATGGTCCAGTGGTTAAGGCACTAGCCTCCTAGTAGATCTGGGGTCAACTTCCTCTGCCACAGACTGCTTGTGTGACCTTAGACAACTCACTTAGGGCTAGATTCCCAGGGGGTTTTGATGTCTAATTGAACCTTAAGTACTTAATTTCAACATTTAGACACCATCAGTGTTCACAAAATTGAACTCCCTTTGGGGGTGGGGCTTAGGCCATACCCCACTCCTCAGCATTTCCTACTGGCTAGCTTAAGTGGCTCCCCACTCAGCATGCTGACTTCTAGGAATCCCAATTTTAGGCACCTAGCTCTCTCCATGCATTGTATTACTACTGAGGGAATTCTGCACCAAAAAATTAAAAGTTCTGCGCACAATATTTTAAAATTCTGCATATTTTGTTTGACAAAATAACACCATATAATCATGCCAGTTTCAATTATTTTGGTAATTTATTTCAAATTACCTTTCAGCAAGTATGTCTGTAACAATACAGACAACAAAAATTCCCCCCCGGGAGTAGTGTGTTAAAGAAACTCCTGCGACAACCCAGTTCCTGTTTCTTTGTTAGATGTCTCAGTCTGGATGTGTCACACGTGCCAGCTGGGCCCATCTTGGAGGAAAACTCTGCCCTTCCGATCTCAGACACCTGCATCCCCTTCTCCCCAGAGCCCAGCCATGGGGCACACACTGGCCCAGACCCACACCCCTTACTTCCCCAGAATCCAGCTGCAGGGTGCCCCCCCAGCCCAGCTCTCCCTCCCCCGAGCAGTATCCTGTATTTGAGTCCTGAATGTAACTTACATCAATTGATAAATCACCTCTGCATTTGGTCCTAGTATTCCTTGTTCTGCTGCAGGTTATCTATTAATCTTTACTTCTTGGTACCTTCAACATTCAAGAATTCAACATTCTTTGGCATTCAGGGGCCATACAGTTTATGCTTGTGAAACTTAACTTTTTTCCCCAGACTATTTGCTTCATTGACCTCTCTCCAGAGCTAACCTCTTTCACTGTTAGCTGCTCTCTTTCTGCCTCTTCCAAGGTTATTAAAGTAAGTGATTACAGTGACTAGTAATCAGATCATTACAGTAATCGTGCACACAGATCACTCTAAAAGACTAACTGTAAGAAGAAAAACTGAAAAATGAGAGCAAATTATATTTCTCGATAATGTTGTAATTTCTGACTTGACCATGTCCATGTACCCTTAATACAGATAAAGTTTCACTGTAATGGAAAATACCCACTACACTGCAACTGCATAGTAATACTTGGTGCTTATGGAAATCAAAAAGGTAGGGTATTTCTTACTTTCCCCTTTAAAAAAAATTATTATCTATTAAATTAGAGCAGAACACCAGTTTCTCTCACCTATGAATCTCCATGATTTCCTCAGCAATCATTCTACCTATTTTACCTGCCCCAGCTCTTGTTCCACCTGGAATACCAGGAACTGTAGGAAGGGTCCTTTTTGTGCCACCTAAAATATGGAACAATATTTGTAAGATCACACACATAATAAGGGAAAGAGATTATGCAAGGTTTTTAAAGAGGAGGGGCAGGAGAGGAGGCCCCAGGGCTGCTCTAACTTACGCTGGGGGTTGGAACCAGAATACGATGGGTGTGAATTCTGGGCCTAGCTTAGGAGATGCAGCTCAGACTCCGGACTTATATATCTAATAACACATCTATAATATCCAATGGCTTGCTGAATGAGTGAGCCGGCCCAGCCCAGCTGGGTGCACCTTGCCCAGACTGTTAGTGCTGAATACTTAATATTAGCTGCTCATCTACTGTCTATACACATTTCAGTCAGGGGGAAGAGAGGATTGACACACACTAAACACAGTACTATCATGTCAGTATGTTAGCAGAACACGACCGCCAACAGGGAATAATTTACAGTTACCTGCTAAACTTTTAAATCACGTCCATTAGGGTAACTGTAAATGTCTGACAAGGGAGTAAAAAGCAACAGGGGACCTGAACATTATGTTCTTGCTGTTTGTTATTCTGATACGGACTTGGCACTTGAATAGCACTTATGGAGAAGCCAGGAGGAGTTTGCTCTATTCTAGGGCACAATGAAGGAAGTAGAGGAAGGACTGACATAAAATGAACTAAAATAATAAGGACGTGATAGAGTATTGATTGTGTGCAATTGTTAATGGTCTTCTGTGTTAACAATTCATACTAGCAACCTTGCCAGGAACCCTTTGGGTTGAAGTCAATGGGAATTGGGGAAGCTCAGCACCTTGAAGAATCAGGTCCTTAAAGTCAGCCTTACAAATCACATCTCAACTCAGTAGAGGGCTGAGGGGAATACAGCGGGCCAAGAACTGTGGGGCCACTATCCTCCCTGTGCAGATGGAGGGGTTTTGCCCTGCTTGCAAGCAGGGGACCACTCCTAGTCCTGCCTCTCCCTAAGCTCCAGAGCCACGCCAGTGGGAGTGGTATCCCCAACCCCGCTTCTACTTTTGGGCTCTTGGCATGGTGAGCTGCCTCAGGCCCTGCACGATGCCAGTGGTGCCGATGGTGGGATCTGGGCCCAGCCAGGGTGGTAAAAGCATTCTCCACACTACTGATGGCAGGCATAAATTCTGAGCGGCACTGAGACCCCAATGCCACTCACCCAAATTTGGCCTGGCTGTCCTTCCATCATGATGGAGGGGTGGGTGGGCCAAACTTGAGTGGTGCTGCAAGCTTGTGTGCCAGGTCACAGCACGAATCACTGCTGGCCCAAACTTGAACTCATAAACCCATGCTAACGCCACCTCAACTTTTCCGTCTGAAATATTTTGCTGCATATTTTCTAATAGGATTTTTTTCTAATCTAAGAAGAAAAATAAATTTGTATTACAGATTTTAAAATAATAAAGCCGCTTATATACCACCTTTCATCTTCAAAGATCCCAAACACCACACACTAAATGCAGCCAGAACTACTGCAATGCAGCCACATCCCTGCCTACAGTTCAGCTCGTGTTCCTTTCCACACCACCTCACAGGTCATACATTCTTGGCCAATCCTCTCTTCTTAGTGGCCAGTGCCCCTAGTCCTGACTCATTTTTCAGTACTTTGGGGCAGATTTCTGCCGCTCTATTTAACACAAAACTGTTGTAAAGCCAGCTCAACTGGCTACTACAGGATTTCCCCAGAACAGAGGGATCCTCATGTGGCATACAGTCACAGTAGCAGCTCTTATGTCACCAAGCCTCCCAACCCTGCTGCCATGTGCCAATGAAATGACCAGGGTATCTCCCATGTATGGCTGATCCCTAGCTGCCCTAACAGCCCCTTGGGGCTGTTCGTAGGGAACAAGCATAAATTAGAGCAGCTTTCGTGTCTGGCACTGGAAAAGTGGTAGGACAGATCTAGAACTGGGGGGATCTTAAAGATAGGATTAGGGATGCTAAGGATTAAGCTGAGTTGCACCATGTGCTCCTTGGCCACAGCTCAGGATCAGAACAGGTGTCTTTTCCAAAAATAAAAAAGTGACCTACACGTGGAGCAGTCCTCATGCGGCAAACACCTTTCCTCTCCTCCAAATCTCTCCTTACAGCCTTCCACCACTGAGCCCTATGAGTGCATGCACTCACTCTGGCTCCTCAGTCACTATTTGTATGTTTCTATCTAAAATAGATTTAACCTCACCGGGGCAGAGCCCTTCTTGGAACTTATATATGTTAAGTACAGTGTACACCTATCATCTTCCAAGTGATTAATAATCTCGGGTGGATGACAGAAACAAACTGGAGCACACAGGGTTAATTCAGTAACCAAGGAAAGTCTATTAATGATTGCTGGCTAGCAAGCGCAAGCTTCTCACTATACTGTAGTTACCTTCTCCAGCCTGAAGTACACTGTCCATGCTGTGCGGAGAAGCTGCAAGCTGCGGAAAGGCTGCATCTCCACCATCAAGTACATTGGTGCTGAGGAAATCAACAGGAAGAAACTGTGATAAAATAGCTGTAAGTGCTAAATATACATAGCAAGTTATAAGGGGGAAGTTTCAACGTTTGCGATTTATAAGACAAATTTAGTCATCACCATGGAGGTAACCATAGTGAATGACACATACGGTAGGGCTATATAAATCAATAAGAGTTCTGTAGGACACATTAAGTAGCAACAGCTGCATAATATACTAAAAACAATCCTAAAGGAAAAACAAAAACCCTTATGGCTCCTCAAGCATGCATTACTGAGCCCAAACTGCTTTTCTCCTAACAGGAGCGAGCAGCTGATCCAGGATCTGATCAAACAATTCATTGTGCAGGGGCACACCCCTGCATCATCACAGAACTCCAGAGAAGAAAATGGAGGCTCCACGTGGGTAAACAATGCACCCATGTACAATCAATTAAAAGATTAGGGGCCCAGTGTCTTACTCTGTACATTATTTATTTAGATTTATACAAACTGTAATAAAAGATCAGCTAATTTCTAGATTTCATTCCTTTTGTTGTAAGGCTAGCCATTATTAAGCTCATATGCTTTATGTAATATATGATGTGTACACATTTTTGGAGCAACTCCCATGATTTTACACTTGAAGCATGGCTACACTCCTGATGTTCAAGGGCATCTGCTAGAAGAAAATACTTACGAAACAACTGTATTCGTTGAGACGATGTATTCTACTTCTTTGGTCCAAGGGTTCATGAAACTGAACCAGCGACTCCTCAAGGTAATAAAAGAGCCATCTTTTATTTTAAACTTGTAACAATTAGTTGTAATTTTTTCTCTTGTCTGTAAAACTAAAAATAGGGAGACATAAGGAACAACCCTAGTTTTTCAGACCTGCACACTGAATACATGAAGAGTAAAGATTTGATGCAGATCCTCCCAGTTTCATTTGCCCTTTTTTTTTTTTGGGTGCAGAGAACAGCACTATTTCTAATACTTTTTTTATCTTTGTACCTGAAGTGCAAATTAGAAGACTCCATACTAATTTAACTTTAGCTTAGGATAGTTACACTGTTCAGTGTATATCAAACAAAGTCCTTTTCATGCAAGAAAAATCTAACGTTTGCCAACCTGAAAAAATCTTATCCCTTTGTTGTTATTTGTGTGTGAAATATCAGGAAGACTAATATATATTTTGACTGTTTTGACTTATTGAAACCAAAACCCTCATTCTTAACACTGAATTATAAATCATTTTACCTTGTCTGTGACATTCTGCAAGATGTCCTATATCATCTTGATGAAAATATTCATAACACGAAGTGCCTAGAAGTTCCTGTGGTAAGTATGCCAGAATGGCTGTTGCCCTAAAAAAACAAAACCAAACAAAAAAACCCCAAACAATTTTTTAAAATAAAATGGTACATCAGTATTATTAACATGTACCCATGCCCCCTACTCAGTTATAAAACAATACCGTATAATATATTATTTTAACTTAGGGGAGAAACTGAAAGTTTCCATTATTTGTACCTTAATTTTGAAATAAGCTAAAAACAAAAAACATACAATACCAATAACTTTCTCTGAAATAGTTTATACTGATGGGTCATCTACAGATACAAAAGCACTTCCAATTACCAAGCCTTGGATGTAAATTGTAATTTGGAGTGTTTAGAATTGGCTAAAGCCTTCTGGTAGCAGGCCACAAGGTACTGAGGAAGCCTGAGGACACAAAATGCCATTTTAGCTAGATACAAGGTGGGTGAGGTAATATCTTTTATTGGACCAACTTTCTGTAGGTGAGGGAGACAAGCTTTCAAGCTACATAGCGCTCTTCTTCAAGTCTAGACTTGAAGAAGAGCGCTATGTAGCTCGGAAGCTTGCCTCTTTCACCAACAGAAGTTGGTCCAATAAAAGACATTACCTCACCCGCCTGGTTCCCCTCATTTCCTGGTACCAGCACAGCTACAACACTGAAAACAATATTTTAACAAGAGCATTCAGGCTTCTAAAGTTCTAAAATCTGTTTTCTTCCTTTGGTACCCAGGATTCTGTTGCGTCAAACAGGGCTGGCTCTAGGCACCAGCACTCCAAGCATGTGCTTGGGGCGGCACTTTCCAAGGGGCGGCACTCCGGCTTCTTTTTTTTTTTTTTGCTTGGGGTGCAAAAAGCCAGGAGCCGGACCTGAGCGGAGGTGAGCTGCGGTGGTGGGGGGCACGGGGAGAGCCGCAGGAAGTAACCCGGTGGGGGGAAGCGCAGATGAAACGCTCCCCCTCCCCCCCCAGCTCACCTCCGCTCCACTGCTGCCTGCTCCCTCGAGCCTGCCGCCGCTCAGCTTCTCCCCCCTAGGCTTGCCTGGGAGGGAGGGGTAGGAGGGGAAATGCGGGGCGCCCAGGGGAGGAGGCAGGGCTGGGGATTTGGGGAAGGGGTTGGAATGGGGAGGGGAAGGGGCGGAGTTGGGGCGGGAAATTTTTTTGCTAGGGGTGGCAAAAAACTTGGAGCCGGCCCTGGTCATAAAGCCTGCTTTTGTCAATCTTAGTATTTTAGATAGGAGTGTTTCCCAATCTTTGCTGAAAGGCCTTAAAGGAGGAGCAAAAGATGACGGAGAATGAAAAAAAAACAGAAAAAGTAAAGAGGAGATACGATGGATACATATTACTGATTTAGCACTGAGATACCGGACTTTACATCTTTACTACCACTATAATCAGACAGGAATATAGGAATGTGTGACATTATACAAGGCTTTTGTTTCACTAGAATTTTTTCTTCAAAGCCAACCTATTTTCACTTCCTCATCGGAAAACTTCAAGCACTCCAGGATCCTGCTGTTAATTCTGGAGAGAGGTTTAGGGATATCTGGGTTTGACATTCCAATAACAAGGGTCTCTATATATCCTAAGCTTGGAGTCAATGCATGCACATAAACCCTAATGCATGATGGAAGTATTTTTTTAAACTGCTCTATACCTGTGCAGAATAATAGACTCCTGAATGTCACAAGACCAGATTAGGGACTGAATCTTGCAATGTGCTGAGCACCCTTATTCTGATTCAATTTGTGCTTACCTTCTTTTCTGGATCAGGACCAGAGTGTGCAGCAACTTCCAAGATGGTCCTCAAATTTTTCTACGTATTGCCTTAGAAACTCTACATTATAAATACAGCTTACAACACAGCAAACTGAATTCAAAATACCATACGCCTTGCATTACTACTACCGTGCATTAGCATGGAAATTACTTGTGCGGGGATAGTTTTACATTGTTAGGTCACTGGATGCCATTGGCTTTAGCAGCTATAATGTAGATAACCCTGGAAAACCAGAAACTGTGCCAACTATTTTCAGTTGAGCTACAGACATAATAATAAAGCAACTCACTTATGAGAAAGAAAAAAATAATTAAGAAATAGAACAGGAAGTGCATCACTGATGTTTACAGTAGATCTGCATGAGTTTCTATATGCTAGTGAATCTCTGTAGGGAGCCAGGGTGGCCTCCCTCCAAACCAGAGGGTAAAGAGCCACTCTCTCAGCCTGAGTGGGTGGGGCCAGGCCAAGCTTACTCCACCCCCCGGAAGGGGAGGGGGTGGAACAGAAAGTACAAAAGGCAGGGCCTTTAGCCCAGCCAGGGCTGCACCAGGGAGGGAGACAGACACAGACTGCTGGCTGTTCCCTGCAGACCCGAGCCAGGGGAGGCCCTCGACCAGGGGAAACCTGACCTTGAGGAAGGACTCAGGCTACCAGGACTGCTGGCTGCAGAGTACCTCGAAGAACTGGAGGAGCCAGGCAGTGACCCAAACCAGAGCGAGCCTGATGCTGAGGGTGAGCTGGAGCTACCGGCGGCTGAATATCCCGATGAGTTGGAGGAACCAGAGGGACCCACTTGAGAGACCAGGTAGGAAGTAGCCAAAGGGCAGAACTGGACAGTGTGGTGAGTCAGTATTTGGTCAGCGTGTTGCGGACGGATCCCCACAGACCCTTGCCCCGCCACTGTCAGGGCCCTGGCTGGAACGCAGTGGAGTTGGGTGGGCCTGCGTTCCCCTACCCCAGCCACCCCGCCTCAGGTGGCAGAACCTCTGTAAAGACCACTGACTCGTGCCGGCGCTCCCCCTACCTGAGGGGCGCGCCACTGACTCGTGCTGGCACACCTCCCTCCACTAACTCCCCATCAAAAGAAAGGTGTGACCAAGGCCTTTCGGCGAGGCAGTAGCTCTCCACCGCCACCCAGTGGCTGGGCGGACCAACTGAGACCCTGCTACAATCCCTTCCATCTTCTCCATCTTTGAACATTGGAAAGGCAAGTTCCTCTCCAGGGGACTGAGCATTAAATAAGGAATAGGATAGAAAACTATGATGATTTGGGATGTGCAGAGGTCTCTCTCTTCCTCAGATTCTGAATTGGTTGCCACAGGGAAGGAGGAGGAAAATACGACAGAGAGAGTAAACAAAAATAGTGCAACTAAACATGACCAAATTAAACATTTAATGGTGTAGTTAAATTGTGTGGTATTTAGAAGATCTGAAGGTACTTACATATCATAACATATATTTGACTGAAAGGGCAAAATTCTGAAGTGCTCCCAAAACAATGTTGTAGTCCAAAAGATAAGCAAATAAAAGCAAACACTCTAGGATAGCGATTCTCGATCTTTTCCATGCATGACCTGAAAGTTTCAAGATCCCCCTTCTCACCTACCTCGAAAGAAAAAGAAGGTACTTTTCCTGGATTTGTCTGTGACCCCTAGATTGACAACCCATGCTCTAGGACAGCGGTTTTCAAACTTTTTGAGCTGTGCCCCCCACACTGAGTTACAATTTTTGGTTGCGTCCCCCACCAACCCAGACAAAAATAGAAACATCTGCCCCTTGGATTTCAGGGTGGGGAAGGCATGTGCAACGGTCTTTGGGGGGGAGCCAGCGCTGGGCATGGAGTGGAAATCAGCACCACAGCAGTGGATGTTGACATTGACTCACAGGCTTGGTGGACCACTGAGGTGAGTCAGGGTATGGAAGTGGCGTTCCCTCCCTCCGCCTCGCATGGCTGGCATTGCAGCTCCCCTTCTCCCTCACCCTCACCCCCCCATTCCTCCGCACCCCCTAGGGCAGCATGCCCCACAGTTTGAAAACTTCTGCTCTAGGACAAGTTGTGAACAAAAGCTAAACACAGGAACATGATTGAAACCAAAACCTAAGAAGGAATAAACCAAACCATACTGCTGATATCAGTAGTTTACGTGATTTTTGCTGAAGTATTGCACATAGTTTCCATTTCAAAGATTCTGATACGTTAAAAGATTAATAATCTTTTAAACTCTATACCAGAGTCATTTCTGAGAGATTCCCTATTAAGGCACGAATTCAGCTGAGCACTTTAAAGCACATCCTTAACTTTAAGCATATGCTTAAACTATTATTATAGTATATCTCCTTAGATCATTCCATATAGAAAATTCTATCAAGAATCTGCAGAGCAGAATTCATCTTTGAATTTATTCATCTTTGTGGCAATCAAGGTCCACACCCTTGTATTATTTTGTTTTTAAAATGTACAACATAATTGTGCTTTGGTTAGACTTGTTAATGAGTCAGTAGTGTATAATATGAGGGCATAAATAATTTATAATGCAATCCCATTGGAACTATCTTTACATGAAAGTAGTTTGTGATTAGTACTATTTATAAAGTACAACAGAAGAGTTACGATTTACAATTTTATTTTCATACTAATACAATGGCTCTCTTGTAAATAAATAACTTATCAGGCTATGTAGCAAGTAGCATGATACAATTATTCCAGTTACCAAGAAAATTATAAACTTATTCTTACCTCTGATCTACAAAAACAAACTTCCCATCTATTGCATGTCGAGAGACATATTCTGTAGGTTTAACCCGGATCTCGCCATTGACTGGTTGAGGAACTACATGAGGATGTAACCGTCCAATTGCAACAAGACAGCTTAAGTTACAGCCTTCATTATCTGGCTCATTGTCTTCATCTAGTCCCATTTTTGTTGGCGGCCAGCTTTTTAAATATCCTGTGCTATGAATCGTGCAAAAGCTTTTGCGGTCTGCTATAAAAGAAAAGGTTAACATCTTCAGCATTGCCTTCAGATAAATTTGGCCCTCAATCAGGTCTGCTAACTTGCTGTGCTTCTCCTTCTATCTTGGAAAACTAAGTTGCTGCATACTAATAAACTAATGCAGAAGAGGTATATATCAATGCACACTGCATATTAGAGACAAGTCAAAGGTTTAGTGTGAAATTTACCATTGTGATACCACTGCTAATATCGAAACCCAGTCCGATAGTTCAACAATTGCAGTCAATATCAATTCTGCATTTTCCCGCAAATGACAAAGTTGCAATTTTAAGAAGTCACACTATGAGCTTTTTCATTAATAATTCTTAGCTCATACAGGACAAAACAAATCAGTGTGCAGAGGCATAAACTATGGAGGAAAATATAATCTGAAAGTAAAATATTTCAGTTTTAAGTTTCCAGAGGTTACAAAATAACAGAAAAGAGGTTTCAATTAAAAGAGAATACCATGGCAATGTCCTTCAGAATATATACTGGCATTCTGTACACAGGTTTTTAATTGAAAACAGTGTCTGTTACCTTTTGTTAGAGAACAATTTAATATTGTCACATCTTTAAAAAATATATTAATTAGGCTGTCAAGAGATTAAAAAAAGTAATCGTGATTAAAAAAATTAATCGCGATTAATCGCACTGTTAAACAATAATAGAATACCATTTAAATATTTTTTGATATTTTCTTCATTTTCAAATATATTGATTTCAATTAGAACACAGAATACAAAGTGTACAGTGCTCACTTTATAAAAAAAGAAATAGTATTTTTCAATTCACTTAATACAAGTACTGTAGTGCAATCTCTTTATCATGAAAGTTG